AGAAAAAAAAAAAAAAAAAAAAAAAAAAAAAGATAAGAGCGGTAGAAAATGAATAGAGTGGACCCTTCACAATTATATGAGGACAGGATGTTGACCAACCACCTTAAGTCCTTGAGGTTTTGAATAACAAATCTATAACGATCCATTGCAAAAAGGACAAGAGAAGAAGAAAATCAATAGATTGGAACCTTCACAATTAGACGACCATGAGATGGCAACGAACCACCTTAAGCTATTGAGGCTTTGATGATGTGACACTTTTCTAATGATGTGGTTCCTTGATAATGTTGCTCTCAATGGTGATATGGCACTCCATTACATTTGAATTAAATTGTTTTTTGGAACTAGCCTTTGGTAATGATTCCACATGAATACATAGAACCAAAGTGAGACAAAACCTTGATCCAATTGGCATAGATGGGACTATTACTAGATCAATTTGACATTAAACGCTACACCTTGAGTCAGTTCAACATTATAGGATGAATCTTAGTCTATTGGGCTAGGAGTGAGAGATCATCCTGAATCATCAGCAAAAAGATCTGGATCCCACCAAAAAAACCAAATTCGCACAACATCATACACCTTCATAATGACCACCCTCTGCCTTCTAAAATTTCAAATCCTAACAAAACTAGAACTATACTACCCAATTATAAAACGTAAAACTCCCCAAAATACTAATACCCATGACCTCTCATTTTTCTATAGTTGTAGCTTCTTACCTCATCCTTACGAGAAAACTCCCCCTCACCAAACCGAGATCCATGCAATTCATTCCACACAACAGCACCCTTCCGATCTTCCAATAACATTTCTCTAGATTCAAATCAGTCAGCATTGTGGCTACTACCCCATCCAATTCAGCCAAACTCTCTCACAGTGAATAGTAAGCACCCCGTTCTAAAATTCCTCGCACAATCAACCCCTCTTCTTGTTTAAAATAAAAACATAAACAAAAAAGTGAAAGCAAAGTAAAACCTAACCCACGTTTTTGCTAAATTAGGTTCAGAAATCAATTGAATTACATTGGCTCGTTCCGCCAGTCAGCCCTCTTTGCTTACAAGGCAGTATATTCTATTGTTCACATTCATCTATGTTTTCTTTGCAAAGTAGTCATCATTCATTGTTGCATCCACTATGCTTAAGAATTCAGATACGTAACCTAAAGATAAAGAAGGTTGGCTGAAGCCAGAGTTTCGTCTGTCTTAAAATTCAGGTATTGAGCTCAATTTTAAAAGAATGGGATAATTTAGAAAATCTTGAAACATGAATTAATTCTAAGATTGTGTAAGCTTCAAAAGAGTAAGACTGTTCCCTCACCCCTACGAGGCATACCTGCTTAGCTACATCAGCGAAACTGAAAACTCCATCAAATGAATTTGATGTGTGCAACTTATTCTAGAGTCTTGTGTTTACTCGAGGAACTAACCAAAACCTTAAAAACTACACACTTTGTTGGTTTACCGTTTCCTATGTTGGTTACAATACAATATGAGCCAGTTTGTGAATGAAATCATTGTATTCTGTACTTTTTTTGCATTGAGTTTATATTGAACTTATTTCTCGTCAATGTCGCAATTTTCTCATGATATAATTAGCAATCAGGATCAAATACAATTATCAGGAATGATCTTTGAAACTTCAGAAAGGAAAATCATATTGAAACTTCATTTCAATATGAGAGGACAAATGGCGGAAACTTGTCAAATGTAACCTCAACTGCAGTTTATTAATCAGCATAAAAGAAAATTAAAATGGGAAGAAAATTGAAGTAGAACCCCTCACACCAAAATGCATTAGGAGTGCAGGACATGTAATCAAAATAGCAAGACATTTTATAAAAACTACAAGAGAACACTAAAAATCAGTATTTTTACGAGATGCCCTTTTGTATTGATTAAATGTCCTGCACTCTTGATGGATTTTTGTATTAGGAGCTCCTGATGCAATATTTTTCCATCAGGTTGTAACATAAAAAGGGAATGGCTTCAGGTTGAGCATACCTCCAACGTTCAGCAACAAGAAAATAACCACAAAAATCCAGAGATACCAACTGCAGGGAAAGAGAACCACGAGTATAAGGATTTCATAAGCTGCATGGTACACTGAATAATAATCTAATAGTCACTTGCATTAAAAACTTTCTAGGTACACAGTTTGCACCATCCTTAGTGATAAAAATCCAATTGTATATGTATGAAGCATGGACACCAACAAAGAACAGGAAATAGATATAGACAGAGCAATCCAAAAATGTATAAACAATGAAAATAAAGCTCCTAGAGCATGTGGTTAACAGAATAGTTTAGACATATAATAATTAACATTCTGTAAGGAAACCATATGATACCAAATGGTGTCCAACAAGATTTTTGTGTGACCAACTTGGTGCGCCCAACGTAGTGAGTTTATGATGTCCAGGTTTACTATTTCCAATATGACTGAGCATGACATGATGGCCTTCTAAAAAAGTTTGTGATTCATAGTTTGTTATGAAAGAGCAAAGACTCCAATTTCAAGGAAAGGGTCATGAGCAAGATTACCTAATACCAACCACTTTCTTAAAGTCAGCTTCAAGGGCTCGAACCATGTATTTGTGAAAATCAAACTTGCGGTTACCCTTGCAATGAGCCTACACGATAAGGGATATCAACGTCAATAAAATTTACATGAAAATTTGGTATACTTGAAGAGGAAAAAAATCAGAGAAGAGTAAGAACTGTAATCAAATCACAGAATGAGTAATATATATAATTAAAAAGGTAGTTACCATAATGAATCCAAGCCTCATTGTGCTATAGTCTGATTTTGTTACTGATCCAAAAATTTGTTTAAAGAAGGAATGCTGAAACAAGAATCAAATCAATGGGGATATGTTTATCTCAAAGATTATACAAGGAATAATACTGAATAAATCATAGAAATAGACATATCAACATCTTTAGTTCTAAAGAAAACAGGTAATATAATGCAGAATTAACGAAGAAGCCAAATCAACCAATAGTTTATGTATGGCTATAGTAGCTAAGTGCCGTTTGGGATATTTTTGTTTTTTTATTTATATTTTAAGATGAAATAAAATAAGTTTGTTTTTAATGTATTTATAATTTAAAAAATAAAAAAGATTGCGGTCTCGATCTTGGTATGATTGGTGGAGATGAGAATATATGTTGCCATCACTGGAATCTGGAACGAGGAGATGCAAGTTGACGACGGGGAAATCTTGGTTGCAAATGCCGGTGATTGTAAGTCGAAGGCAGAGTCGAAGCTTTTCCAGTGGCTGACAATCCTCCATTATTTTTCCTTTTTTTTGTGTGAAGTGCCAGTTACTTTTCACAGCTTCTTAAAAATATATTTTGAAAATATAAAAAATAACTCTAAGTTATTTCAGCACCTTTTTAAAACAAAGAAATTTATTCTTAAACAATCCGAATTATTATGATTTTAACCATTTTTTTTAAATAAAAAACACAAAAAATAAAAATTAAAACAATTCAAAATTAGGCCTAAGTTGCTACGATCAAGACATTAATAGACACAACACAAACCGTTTCTTAATTCTCACTTTCCAAACAATGAATTTTGTTTTAAAAAATAATCAAAAGATTTAAAAAAAAAATTCATTATTCCATTTCAGTAGCATCATATTCGTGGTTACTCACGATAATCAAATGAAGCTTCATTGTACAGGTACAATGTTGAACTACATGAAACAATTTAAGATAGAAATCAAAGAGTAGAGATACAGTTCTCCTTACGGCCAGAATAACATCATAACTTACCAGCCAACTTAATATTACAGAATCCTTGCCAATGCCAAGAAAGCGGCCCTTAACAAATTCAGTTTGGTGAACATGAGTGATCGCTGGGGCAGAAGCTGCAAGAATACAATTGCTTGTTCAGCATGTACAAACGAAAAGTAATGATATTTGGGGGATTTATATACATGTCACTTTATTTCATGCTATTATGTCTAATACCTAAAGCATTAATATTACATGCCTACCATAGGCATGTAATATTATTGGTAGGCATGTAATATTAATGTTTTAGGTGTTGAATATGTAAATAGCATGAAATAAAGTGGTATGTATGTAATTTTTGTCCCAAACAGAAAATGTGGCGTGAACCAGATAGGACATATATGACATTGCCAGTATGGAGAGCAGGGCAAATAGTAAATACCATTTTCCACAGTTTCTTTGTGGATGGAAACTTCCCAGTGCTTCCATTGGCGTATCTATGTGAAATGAAGCTATCATCAGCATATTAAAGACAGCACCAAGTTCTTAATTCCATCTACTTATGAACTCAAGGATGTGTGCAAATAAAAAACATATGTAGATTTTAATTACCTTTGCACTTCCCAAGAGCATGGTTAGAACACTAAGAATCACATGAGTTGTGGCCAAAACAAAGATAAAAATATGAAGTTGATGGATTGCTTCAATCGATAGAAGTGGAACTTTTCCCTGCAAAAGAGAAAGTAGAACAGATAATTAATGAGATTGATGCATGAGCCTAGTAAATAAAGCAAATTATAGCATTTTTCTTGTTTTCTATTCTTTGACACGTGAATCTTCAAGAATTACACATGCAGATTATGTATACACAGTATAAATTATCATATTATGTAGAATGTACACTCGATAGGCAAGCCATAAATATACTTAATACTTATTGGAAGCACATTGGTTTACGAATACATGGATGGGATTTCCATGGGCGTATCTTTAAATTTTATTTAGTTCAAATGTAAAGAGATAGGCCACACCATCATTTCAAAAACTAAAAGAGTGAATGAGCTTGTTGGGTGATTAGCATTTATTTTGGCTAACGTTCTTCCAGCCTCTTTGTGAACATGGGTAACTAATGTGCTTGCACAGATTATTGCTTCGCATGCTTCTTTTTTTCCGTGGGTTTAAATGAGCACACATCAAAAAACGGTTGTGCAGATCAGGGAAAAAATCATATGTGGGACCAAGCTTGGGTTTAATTCAAGCGTTGGAGGAAAATTTTGAATGGAAGGGGGGGGAAATTTGAATAGAAGGGCTGTTTAGGGATTTTGTATGGGGATGAGAGTTAAAGAGGGGGAAAGGGGGGAATTAGGTCCTCATCTTGAATTTGAATGAAAAGTTGGAGATCTCATTGTGTGCTTGGGCTCTAGGGTTTGCTAGAGACTTGTGGAGAGTTGTTCTTCCTCTCGAATTGAAGAACTATTGTATCTTTGCTGTTTTGATTCTTCTTCTAGTTGAATACAAGTATTGGCTTGGTTTTATTCCAGTTTTTCCCACTGTTTTCTCAGTTTGAGTGCAGTTTTCTGTTGTCTACAACAGAAATTCTGCTGTTTTCCTGCTGTTTGCTCTTCCGATTGGCTTAGGATTGCTTGCGAACTCAAGTATTACCTTAGGGTTACTTGCGAACTCAAGTATTTCCTATCAGATGCATTTGGATGGACAACAACCGACAAAAATCAGGAAGATTTGTGGACTCTTCACGATCCTTGGACATAAAAAACATATGATCTCATATACATACAAATGGATTTTGCAGAGATTATAGAAAGTTACCACTAACCACTCAGTTGAGTGTGTTGCATTTGATCTCTAAAGTAGAAGTTGTAAGGTTCAAATCCTTGTAATATATATATATATATATTAAGGGCTACAAGTAGCTCTACTTTCTTGTAAATGGCCACATCCCTGAAATTTATTTGGATGAAGTTCCTTTTTTTTAATACATTGATATAGTAGTTTACTAAAGACCAAGTATGTATACTTATTTCGATTTCTTCAGAATATTATTAACATATTTACACAGGTGAGTCATGCGATGGATACAGTTCACTTGGGTTATATGGTTTAGTTTACACAGTTTAATGGTAGTTTTAGAAAGAATAGCATAAAGTATTTAAACTGCGTGTAATAGGTGTTACCTTCTTATGGTTATTGACATTTTTGTTCTATGATATCTTTTATTTGACAAGATGCTGTTGACCTGCTGTACCGAGAAAAAAAAAAATTCTCACCTGCTCTGGCATCCCACGTCACACGACGCCCGCACTCCTCGCACGTCGCTCGCACGATCGACGTCGCATCCGCCACGACTCTGCACGACGAGCTTACGTTGTTAAATGGCCACGAAAAGGAGGCCTTCAGGCTTTTTCACGAGCCTGCTCACTCCCCTCTCCCTCTCAACACAGCTCACTCCCCGCTCACGCTCTCCGATCTCTCCCTCTCTTGTGTCTACTCGAGCTCCCTCACTCGATGACTTCTCTTTCCTGTCGGGACGGAAGCTACGACGTTTGATTGGAGGAAACGACAGGAGCCGCTCACTGTGAAGATAACTTTCTCCATTTCGCGTGCTTCCTCGATCCTCTTCGTGGCCGGACGACTTCGCTCCTCCGACGTTATCCCTTCCTGTTCGAGCGGAAGTTGCGACATTTTGATCCGAAGAAGGGACGGGAGCCTGCCATCCGTGAGGTTGCACACATCGCTTCTCTGATCCCTTTGGGCTGTTCAACTTTGCTCCCTCGACGACGTTGTCTTCCAGTTTGATCGGAGCAAATGACGGGAGCTAGCTCGTGTGAAGGTAATTGTCTCCCTTGCGCGTGCTTCCACGGCCAAATCCAGTAAACCCATCGAGTCAGAGGAGAAAAGGGAGGTTTCTTTTTATTAATTCATTTTAATTAATATTAATTATATTTAATTATTATTTAAGTATAATTATAATTAATTATTTAATTATAATTAATTAATAATTAGTAATCAATTTTTAATTATAAAAAAAAAAACCTTGTCATTGGTGTGTGCGACGGACTGGAAAATCGCCCATGCACGCCTTTATTGCGCGTGGTGGGATGGGACCTGAACAAGCACTTGGACATGTACTTTGAACTCGAACCGGATTGAATACAAGGGACCAGTGAACTTGTGTTACTAACTCGGACTCAAGTGAACTCAATCTCAATTTGAAAGTGAAATGAATTGAACTAAGACTTGAACGTGAATGTGTTATAAACTCAAGAGCAGCACAAGGAATCAAAGTATGAACCGGACTTAAACGAGCACTTGAACTCGATCCGTACAACGTTGAGTGGGACTTGCAAACTTGATGGATTCATGTTGAATGAAACAGAACTTAGATTCAAACACATGCAAGGAACAAGACTTGAATCACACACGAGAAAACTAAAACTTCAAGAATATTTGTGTGGTCAATAGTGACTCAATGTCAGATGAAATACATTGACCTTAGTAAACAAATGTGACTAGGGCGCACTACAAGACATCAATTCATATAAGTAAAGAATATAGTGAACTCTTACAACAGTCTCTACGAGATCGGGTGCATAGTACCTACAAGAATGAAATGCATGGGCTTCCCTCCCATATGCACCATTGGAATCTCCAACACAAACGACAAGCGCCTGTTGATTGAAGAAGGAGATACTAGAGACTAATAATGGAGGACCCGTCCCTACAAACAAATACAATCAAAAACCCATCTGAGATTGGTGAAAGGTGGATATGATGTATGAATAATGGGTCTTCTACAAGCAGTTCCAGGAGGTCGTAGTGGATACAACAATTCCCTGCGAATGAATATTTGTGGATAACAACGGTGGATATATCGTAGGTACAACGAACCATTGTGGGCACAAGTACAAACATCACCTTCGACAATGGTGATTAAAATCTACAAGTAAGTTGGGTACAAGTGCAACCCGATGTATGAAGAAGGATACACCTTGGCGGAATGGAAGAGATGTTTGAACAAATACGAACTAAACTTTCTGGTGTTCCAAAATTTCTTCTTGATCCTGCACTTAAGAAGAATATAGTTACCACATCTACAAATATAAAAAATAATAAGCCTACTACACTGAAGAGCTTAAAAGTTCTTTATAAAGCAGCGGTCATTGATTTCAAAGACCAGAAGGTCCTCCCCGGCGAACGAGATAGGGGAGTCAACATCAAGATGATGAGATGCCTTGTGACATCCAAATAATACCGCCACCGGATCTGCAACACTTATACAAGCAGACAGTAGGCATCCACAATCTACAACGCACTGCCACCGGATCCGCAACACTCGTATTAGCAGACAGAAGGTGTGTATAAGCTCTCAAATGAAATATTGTGTACTCAAATGGCGATAACTTGTACAACTACAATTATTTCGGTGTACCCATGCACGTGCACTATAAATTGTATACACATAGGTACATTAAAGGGGAAAATAAAATCTCAACCCGCATGGGCCCCGGCGAGCGTATTATTGGTACACATATGACGTCTAGGGATGCTGCCCGTGAATTCAAGTTTGAACCTGATCCTTCTATGCAGATCAATAGGAGTTGTCAGGGTTAGAACATTCTAACAAATATACGGTTGTGGCGACTGGTGTATTTGTTTTAATACATTCATATTAGGCCCTCAAGGCCTATAATCAAGAGGATTCACTAACAAAGGCACGAAGCCTACAAAACTTGATCCTCCTAAGCAGGTAAATAGGAGTAGACAGGGTTCAAACAATCGGGTAAATATGCGGTCACGAAGTTGACCGGGATATTTATTTTATATATTCATATTAGGCTTTCAAGGCCCTTAACAATATGAATTCACTGACAAAGGGAACAAAGCCTACGAAACCAGATCCCTTGTCAGCAAGTTGATAGGGTCGACAAGGTTCATAAATATTTTCAAAAGGATATGACCCCAAACACTTCAATGATAGCTGTGTTGAATGTTTATCTCAACCGGAGGGGTTCACAAATAATTTCAAATGTCTTTCCAGCTCCACCAAAATCCAAAAAATCTTAAAATCCCAAAATCCAAAAAATATTTAAAATTGAAATCCAACTATTAAATACTTAAAGCAAAATTCATCCACCATCCACAACAGTTTGCCGACGTGGACAAATGAAATTTACTTAAGCTCACATAGAGCTAATGCCTAATCAAAAATATCATTAGGATCCATTCTCAAACAATCTCTTGCCAATAAGGACGTGGTACGTGTCCTCTAACCGGCGGTTTTACCGCCAAATAACACCGCAAGATAAACGGTTATGACTCGGGGCCCTCTGAACCGAGTGGTTTTGCCGCTAAATAGCACCACAAATACTGGTTATGGCCAGAGCCAATACATTCCTTATTGACATCAAATTTTTGAGATATGAATCAATAGGATATGATCGATAGGGTACAGAGCCCTCTGTTAGTTAAGGTAGATTCAAATTTATCCCCTTAGACAAATATTCACCCCAGGTCTACAAGGTCCCCTTGGACGAATCAACCCATGGTTGCCGACAAAGATCCTTCTGTCAGGTTGGGTCGACTACCTCCTCTGACTAAGTAGACCAGGGACCACAATGGCCCAAGATGACGGAGCCATGAGATCTTGATCGGGTCTATCATCCACCACCCACCATCCGCTTCAAGTGCAAGATGGTGAAATTTCAATT